CAGAGGACGCTCGGGCTACCATAACGTCAAATGATTGGAGCTACATCGATGGATACATCAGGTGGTTCTTCAGGGTCTCACTTTTGTACATGGTGTCGGCTGCTCTAGGAGATCCATAGAGATCCACTCATCAGGAGATTCTAGAGGAGGCACAGGCTCAATTGGATCATACCGAGGATGTCTTGCCTCATTTTTGCCACATAGTGGAGATGGCGCGGGCAAGCATTGGCGAGTGTATTTTCCCTTAGCGGTCTGCTGTCAGGCGAGTATTTGATGGCATTATTGTAGAGTCACAAGGGGTAATTTTATACCGATGACATCACGCGAGGACAATGGGGATCGATGTCCAAGAAGGCAGAGGACGCAGATGAGAGGTTGTTAGGCACACCAAGTAGTTGTATGTATTTATTTTGTTTCAGTACTATAGTTTGTACGTTTTTCCTGAAATTGTTACATTTTAGATTTTCATGACGTATGACATCCGATTACTATATTGTTATGTTATTTTAGTTTGTCTATTATTTTATAATTCATATACAAACAAATACACAATGCGTTTTTGGGGTCCTTCACGTATTGTCTCTACTTTTCAGTCTAGGTATATTGTCACCTTTATTGATGATTTTTCACGTTGTACGTGGTTATTTTTAATGAAGAATAGATCTGAATTATTTTCTATTTTTGATCAATTTTATCGAGAAATAAGAACTCAATTCAGTGTGTCTATCTGTATCTTAAGAAATGATAATGCCCGTGAATATTTATCCCAACCATTTCGAAAATTCATGTCACACAATGGTATTCTCCATAAAATATCATGCCCTCACACACCTTAACAAAACGGTGTAGCCGAATGCAAAAATCAATATCTCATAGAAACCACTCGGACCTTACTTCTCCATGGTAATAATGTTCCACTTCGGTTTTGGGGGGATGTTGTGCTAACGACATATTACCTTATAAATCGCATACCCTCATCTGTCCTTAAAAATAAAATCCCTCATTCAATCCTTTTTCCTAATTCCCCACTTCACCTAATTCCTCCCCGAGTCTTCTGGTCCACATGTTTTGTACACAATCTCTCCCCTTGTCTTGATAAATTATCAGCTCAATCGCTAAAGTGTGTCTTTCTTGGTTATCATCGATCCCAAAAAGGTTATCATTGTTATTCACATACTCTACAATGATACCTCATATCGTCTGATGTTACCTTCTTTAAATTTGTTCCATATTTTAAGTCCACCCAAGCAACTTCGGAACCCCTTCAGGAAATTATTCTCATACCTCTTCCGGAAGTCCCATCTTCCATTGTCCCTCATCATTCTAGGGAACCTAGCTCACTAGATAGGCCTACAGTTGATCCCCTCACTTCTCACCCACTTCAAACATATCATCGTCGCCAACCACTGTCTGTCGTACCTGCTCCTAAGGTCGTACATGTCCCTAAGGTCATTGCATACTCTCCTTTCGACGCTCTCACCATCACCAGATCCAATCCTGCCACCTGAGTCCGATCTTCTGATTGCCCTTTGAAAAGGTATACGTCAAACACGAAATCCTTCTCCACATTATATTGATTTATGTTATCATCGTCTTTCTCCTTTGCAGTATACTTATTTGTCTTCTTTGCCTTTTGTTTCTATTCCTAAAAATCTAGGTGAAGCATTATCTCACCCTAAATGGAGGCAAGCAATGATTTATGAAATGTGTGATCTTCAAAGCAGTGGTACCTAGTAACTGGTTCATCTACCCCTTAGAAAATCTTTAGCAGGTTGTCGTTGGCTTTATACAGTGAAGGTTGGTCCCAATGGTAAGATTGATCGATTTAAAGCTCGCTTGGTAGCCAAAAGATACACTCAGATTTTTGAGTTAGATTATAGTGATACCTTCTCGCCTGTAGTAAAGATGACATCTGTTAGACTTCTTCTAGCCATTGCAACCATTCGACATTGGTCTCTTCACCAACTTGACATTAAAAATGTTTTTTTACATGGGGATCTTGAAAAGGAAGTGTATATGGAGCAACCACCTGAGGTTTTTGCTCAGGGGGAGTCATCGAATATGGTGTGTAGGCTACACAGGTCTCTTTATGGTCTTAAGCAATCTCCGAGAGCTTGGTTTGGCAGATTCAGCGCTGTAGTACAACAGTTTGGTATGGTCCATAGTAAAGCTGACCATTCTGTTTTTTATCGTCACTCAGTCCAAGGGTGTATTTATCTTATTATGTATGTAGATGATATTGTCATAACTGGTAGTGGTCAACATGAAATACTTTAGTTAAAACAACATCTCTTGAATTAATTTCAGACAAAAGATCTTGGTAAACTCCGTTATTTTTTGGGTATTGAGGTAGCCTAATCTAAAGATGGTTTGATGATTTCTCAGCGAAAATATGCAATGTTTGAAATAAACAGGTTTGTTGAATGCTAAACTAGATGATACTCCTATGAATCCAAGTATCAAACTACTATCGAATCAAGGGGAGCCTCTATCTGACTCAGGAAGGTATAGGAGATTGGTTGGAAAGTTGAATTATCTCACAGTCACTCGTCTGGACATTTCTTTTGCAGTCAGTGTGGTAAGTCGGCTCTTAAATTCCCCTTGTCATAAACACATGGATGTTATTACTCGGATTCTGAGATACATCAAATGTGCTCCAGGAAAAGGTCTAGTGTATGAAGATAAATGACATACTCAGATAGTTAGATACTCAGATGTTGATTGGGTAGGGTCACCCATTAATAGATGATCTACTTCTGCGTATTGTGTACTTGTTGGAGAAAATCTTATATCCCAAAAAAGTAAGAAACAAAACGTTGTTGCAAGATCAGGCGCCTAGGCAGGGTATAGAGTTATAGCAATGACAACATGTGAACTTATTTGGTTAAAACAGTTGCTCAAGAAACTTCAAATTGAAGAAGTAAGAATAGTGACACTTATTTGTGATAATCAAATTGCATTGCACATTGCTTCAAATCGAGTCTTCCATGAGAAGCCCAAACATATTGAGATAGACTGTCATTTTGTCATAGAGAAGATCAAGTCAGGTGACATCGTTACAAGCTTTGTCAACTCTAATGATCAATTGACAGACGTGTTTATAAAATCTTTGCGAAGCCTCAAACTAATTATATATGTAACAAGCTTGGTGCATTTGACTTATATGCTCAAATTTGAAGGGGAGTGTTGATATTTCTAAATATAGTGTTAAAAATATTTGTATATAGAATAGTCGAACATCGGCTATATCATGTAATTAATTGTAATCTCTCTATATACAATATGTCTGCGTAGTGCTTTTCAAAACACACGGTTTATTCATATGTCTCGTAGTCTCTTGTATTTCAACAAGTTCTATGATTATTAAAAATGAATAAGTATAGCATTGTTCAAAATTTTTCAACATTAAACATAGGTTAATCGATTAACATGATTATCGTAATCTATTAGACATTCCATAATATTCATAAATTTTGTGAAAAAAACATGGCTAATCTACTGACCAAAAGGGTAATTGATTATCATTAATTTATTTTTGAAGTTCATTTCTAAAATGGTTAATCAATTGACCGTACTGAATAATTGATTATCATTATGAAAAAATTCAATTTTGTATTATGAAAAAAATTCAATTTTGTTTCAATCAGAGACATGGTTAATCAATTAACAATGTATAGTAATGATTAACACATATAAATTAATTGATTAACATGATTCATACTTTAAAAAAAAAGAATAATGCTAATTTATATTTGTAAATATAGAAATAATATCTTAAAAATTGTGCAATGTTTTTTAATAAAAATAAAAAATTTAATTTTTTATTGATGTTTCCAATACAAACTTACTATAAATGTGTTTTTTAACTTGTGCCCCTAAGACACAAGTTGGCGTTACCAAAAAAAAAAATTCTAGATGTCAAACTTTGCCATTTTTAAAACAAAGTAAAAAATGAGTTTGAAATTTTGTCTTTAAGCATTTAAAATCTATAATTGTTGAAATAAACACTATACCTTTGTCTATGATCCAGTATCTTTGAAATTCAAATCTTAACACAAACTGATGCTTAATTCAATCTTTTTCTTCTTCGATATTTCTATTAAAATAACCTTGTACTAGTTTAATAAAACTAGACTATCAATGGGTATCAGAAAGCAACACCTAACATAGATTTTATAGAGGTGCTCCTACCATGAAAAAAAAAGACATTTTCCTTGTAATCCTGAAGTTTGCTAAGTAATTAAAGATCTGAGGTTTTTAACTCCAGAGATCTTGTAATATTAAAACTAACCTAATTAGAAAATAAACCAAAAAAGACAATTGGATAATTATCTAAATCAACTTAATATAAATGATATAAAATACACAATTAAAATTTTTTAATAACATAATTTTTAAAATTTTATTATTTTAAAAATACTAATCATTATAAATATTTTACTTAGATAGAATGAATAAAAAAGTGATAGATAGGTAGCATATTCTCCATCGATGCAGTTCAAGAACTTGTTCATACGCATCCATATAACTGTCAAACCAAAACTCTAGTTCTGATTAGCATCCATATAACTGTCAAACCAAAACTCTAGTTCCGATTAGCATCTATATACTCAGAAAAGCAAATAAATGTCAAACAAAATTTGCTTTGGAAATGTTTACATGCCAGAATGACTCTTCTGCAAATAAACGATTACCTTTTACAGTAATTTCTCTGCTACCCCACTCCCCAGACAAAGGGTTCTGAAGGTAGACTTAGATGAGAAATATATGACCAATCTCAATTAATCAATGGATCCAAATATCATACCAAATTAGGTCATCTATCACTCTATAGGGTACAGCAAGTCCTATACTACGAAAATTCAAGTTGAACAAAAAGTATTTACAAGAGAAAATTTGAGGAAGTATTGAGTGCACCCAGAAAGCAGGGATGTGAAGGTAGCAGCTTCCCTCCAGTCCGAGTAATCAAGAATGTAGGGAGTGGTTGGCAGGAGAACAAATCACAGATACAGAGAATTTGCAAAAATAATACCACGACGAAGGCTTTCACTTGCTGCAGCAAATTTCTTCTCCAAGTCAACTTCTCCAACTGCTTCAGCAGCATCACGCAACTGGAAAGAGGCAAATACGGTCATAGCAGATCACAACTCTAAAAACTCATTGTCAACTGAATTATTTCCTTTTTGTTTCCAAACAATTAATTAGGCCAGAGATGTGTTAAAAGAGCTAATTTTTAGCATGCGGGAATTTTACGATAGTAAAAATAATTGCTGAAAGACAAGTCAACAACTGCTACTTTAGCCCACACTTTATAATTTGGGAATTTAACACCTCAAACTTCAAGCTTATATCAAATATAACATATGCAAAGTTTTAAAATCAAACATAAATTGTAATTTGTAAATGTCAAGAATGGCACTTTTGATAAGTCGTGTTTAACCAAACCACCCAAATTATGAGGATATGATTCCTCAATAGTTTAAGTCTGCTTTTCAATAACTACTATTTTCCATTATGTCCTTTGGCTAATCCTCCCTCTTGTCCTATTTATAAGAAACCATGAGGTTACCTGATTCAAAAATTCATCAAGCCTTCTAGCAGCCCTAATGATACTGCCCTCGAAGATGTCAGTCATTTGAGTAACATCAGCAAAACTAGATCCCTGGGTCAAAAATAAGAAACAATAAACAAGAGGTTAATAAAAACTAACAAACCAATACATTAACTACTCCTGTTTTCTCCCACTCATTAGAGGAGCATACTCACTGCTGCGGTGAGGATGCTATGTGTGCCTTATAATGCAAGCAATCTTAAATGAGATTTAGTATAACAATCAGCACAGATGAGTCTATTTTGAAGACCTCTTGGTAATGAATCAAGATCAGCACAGATGAGTCTATTTTGAAGACCTCTTGGTAATGAAACAAGAGTAAAAGAATGTGTGTTTAGGCGCACAAAGTGTATGTCTGTGCACTTTAAGTTGTTAAATTATCGTCTAACCATGAGTGTTGAATCCATACATTATGAAGCAAAAGGCTCCCTTAATAGGTGAGAGCTTCTGGCACATTTTGCTATGTTGTCTATCACGACTAACAACCATGACAACCAACTCAAATGCCTATGCCTACATTTCATAAATTTTGATAATTCATTTGTTTTTATATGTTCAAGGGATGATTTTAGGTTCTTTTACAACGCCTGAATTTTACTTATCACAAGCGATAAACAGAACCAGGAATATGAATAACAATTTATCCAGGAATAGAATTTTCAGTTTTCCGCAAGAAATCAAGCAAAAGACTTAGAAGAAAAAACATTTGAGTCAAAAATATGATATTACGAACCTTAGACCAAGAGTATATTACATCCATCAAGAATGGCTTTACTGTTGATTCGACATACTCATTCACATTTACTTCCAATTTGCATTCGTGTTGTATCTATAACCATAGAGTAATCCCAGTTATAATTTAATTCACAATTTCACAAAAAAAAAATATTAAGTTAAATGATAGAGCACCTCTGCTATCCTTCTTGCATTGTCTTGAAGCTGTTGTAGAGGTCTTGCAAGCTCTGATCTCAATTGTATCTGCTCACTTGATTTATCTACGGGTATAAAACAACTTGCAAGAGCAGCAACTTGGTGATGGTCCAGATCATTAAAAGTGCCTAATGAGGAAGAGAAATGAATATAAGGGAGAAAAATCAGATTATGTAACACAAACTCTAAACCATACAGAAAAGAACAAACGAATGCATATTGATTCACCATTAAACATTAATTCAGTGACAAGGAGTTCATCGCCTGTGTCGACCAAGCAGGCTGCCCTTCCTTTCAATTGAACTACACTATCAGCATCAATATGACCAAGCTTCTTTAAGACTCGAGAGCGGTTTTTAAGTTCATCCCGAAATTTTTGCAGCTGAAACATTGATATAAAGTTTGCACTCAACAGTTTAGAAAAATAAATAAACTAGTACAGTTAAACATTGTCCACATTCAAGAACGGTGCACTCAATATTTGTCATGGACAAAACTATCATATTAACCTCCCATCAACTGTTAAGTTGTTAATCATTCACATTTGGTTACATAGGTTTATATGTAATGCATAGCACATACATTCTTGTCTCCCATTCAGTTCTAAACTCCAACATGTAAGTCCAGCTTAATAATTAACTATAGCAAATAATGAGGCCCTCAGCAAAGTCAACAATACCTGGGAGTCTCGCATTTTTGCTTTCAGGTGTTGAATTTCATGATTCACTTCAGCTTTCCTCTCAAAGCTCTTAATTTGATCTACATCTTGAACCTAACTTACAGCAAAGTGTTGAAGAAACATTCAAACCAAAGACCAGCATCATCACATTTATACGTACGGAATATGGACCAGATTAATTTTAGCAAACCTTATGCATAGGATGACCAAGCAACTTTTTCTCAAGCTCTTCTATTTGATTGACAAGTTCAACTATCTCTGAATCTCGTACATCCATGTCCTGAAAATTTATTTAAGAATAATAAATGATTGATGTGACTATTTTAAAGATCACTAAATTCAGTTGTGAGCATGTGCTAAGATAACCTTCCTTGCTTAAAAGACAGTGAGATAGAGAAATTATAAGATTATAACATTGATGAAGAGAAAAAACTATGATGCACAATGGCAGGTCTTTGACTCTGCACTAAAAATATTAAAACACACACAGATATTGCCGAGATATAATGTTGGAGACCAATAAATTTGCTACAGCGTTTGCCTTACAGTTTACATAAAAATCATGTCTAATATCATGTGAAACATTGAAGAGCCTAGAAGTCACCCCTTAATTCTGATAACGAAAGTAGAGAACATAACACAATTTATGATAGCTGAGGATTGAAAATTTTACCTTTACAGGGTTAAGCTTTGGAAGACCTTGAGGAAAACGATTGCTCAGCTCCTGAACAGCAAGGAGTATGCTTTGCCGAGCTTCCAAGGGCCGGAGATCAGGAGGTACATGTATCATTAGTTTACTAAGCGCAGAGATTAATGGTAATTGAACCGGGACCTATTGCAAAACGAAGCAGTCAAGAGAATGAAGTTGTTTTTGGATATGTAAAGTGAAGTGAGTAAACAACAGAGCCCTGAAAAAGTAGCATGACGGACAAAATGGCAGCTTACCACATGCATTTCACCTTTCTCTCCAAGGCGCGGTGGACATGGTTTTGACCGTGTACTGTTTTCGTTTGAACTAGGTGAACAATGAAGTAAAGTGTCAACTATATAACCACCAACAGGTTTCTTAACAACATTGACTACAACACCCCAGCCCCAATCTGTCCCGCCTTCTCTTACTTTAATCTGCAAGAATAACAAGACTATCTATTTCAGTGGTGCTTGATGCAAGCATAAACCAGAGACAAATTAAACACAGAAGAACTCAAAAATAGAACTGAACAGTTGTGCACAGACAATGTAGGAAATAATTTACGTTTAATGCTGAAAATTAAAACAAACATCTCAGAATTTGGGTACGGCCTAACTCAACCCTACAAAACCGGCTTGTAAGGTGAAGATTACCCCCACTTATAAACACAACATAGGCCATATCTCTAAGCAATGTGGGACAAAATCCACCACTTCAAACCCAACACAATGAATGTGTTGGAGGTTGCAATGAATGGAAGCCAAATGCCACAATTAAGGCGACTAGGGGCGGAAATTCCAAGACAACCCCTCACACTCAGACCTCAATGAGCCTAGAGTGTGGACGATGCGGGAAGCCCAGCAACAGATTTAGGATAAGCTCTGCTACCATCTCAGAATTTGGGTTGGACCTAACTCAACCCTACAAAACCAGTTGTAAGGTGAGGATTGCCCCCACTTTTAAACACAACACAGATCATATCTCTAAACAATGTGGACTAAATCCATCCCTTCAAACCTAACACAATGAAGGTGTTGGAGGCTGCAGAGAAGGCAAGCCAAATGCCGCAATTAAGGCGACTAGGGGCGGACTGCAATGAAAGCGGAAATTCCAACAGTACATATTATATACACACACATATGGATGAATTTATGATATCATAAACTCATTTACACGCTGATGATCAGGATTAGTTAGAGAAGCAAGAAAAAAACTAACTCAATTCCGCACCGATGATAACCACCACTTACCAATCGACCGGGGACAAGAAAATAAAGAATCATTTCCGGTCTTATTAGTTGCGACATCATCTTCTTCTCTAGAAGAGCATATTCTATTTTCAGCTTATGATATTCAGATACTTCAGCCTACACAAATAATGAATAATAGCAAATAGTAAATAAAATATCAATATCAATATATTACAACCACACAGAAAATATAATTAACAAAATAAACGTGGCCCAGGAATAAAGATTACCTCCCCTGCAGCATCAAGCAAGGCTACTTCCTGCTCCAGCATAGATACCCTTTTTCCCATATCAGGTAAGGCCTTAATATGGGTAACGAGTACACAAGTTAAACATCACAGTTGCAGTGCACGAAATACAAATAATGTTTTAAAGGAAATGGTTGGGTTCAAACCTTTTCATATTGAAATTGATGAAATGAGTTTCTTATCACGTGTTCGGCAGTGAATTGACCTTCTGCACGACTCATCAAATTTAAAATTGAGTAGTAACTAAGCCTAAATGTACTAACTAAAGGAGCGGGTTTACCCAGAACCATGTCTTTGAGGGTACTCATTTCCATCTGTGTAAAACAATTCGATAATGTTGAGTTCAGTGTTGCAAAACCAATAAGTTTTAGTTCCGTCCAAAATCAAACCAGTGACTGACAATACCATAATAACTAAGAATAAAATGAGAACACAATACAAAGCACCCAACTTAGTCTTGCAGCCATACCACGTGAAAAGGGAAGTACCAAAAAACCAACAAGATTTAGTATATAAACAACAGAATTTTCAAGCATACACAAATACATGTCCAAAATATTATACAAAAAAGTGCTTTTGAAAGCCTAATTCTCATATTCTGTTAAATGAACATATGAAGAGAAAAAACAGAAAGATAAAAAACGAATAGGGACATGCTATTACAAACAGAGCAGGTAACCTCCTTGTTCATAGGGTCTATTATCGTATTGAAAAAGTTGAAACAGATGTCTTACACAAAACTAAATAGTATCATGCACCATCTCGTTTTAATTAATAAAATAAATTAAAACAAAAAATAAAAATAAGTTATTTAACTTGACTCTAGTCAGATTAGAACTTCAAAATAAAAAGAAATCAAACCCATTTTGCTTGGTTTTATTTAAATTGCTACTAGATAATCGGAGAAGCACTGTAGTTGACCAAAGTATCAGAATTTAGTTAGAGGTTAGAACAGCACAATAACCCATTTTGCTTGGTTTATTTAAATTACTACTAATTGGAAAAAGATCAACAGAAGAAGCGTGGGTATGCATATTTCATTATGCAGCATTGGAGGTACAGAAAAAAATGACTGGCAATAGACTCACCTCCTCATCAATCATTATGATACAAATCCCACGCTCATCTTTGCCACGCCGCCCGGCCCTTCCACTCATCTAAAGGGACCATATCATCAATAGTAAGTAAGAATTTTGATACCCCGATAGAATGAATAAATCTTCAATCACCACCACCAATAAAAAAATAAAAAAAACATCGCTCACCTGTATATATTCACCAGAGCCAATATAACGGTGACTATCACCATCCCACTTCTTAACAGCAGTGAATACAACAGTTTTTGCCGGCATATTTAAACCCATTGCAAACTGTAGAAAAATGCATCTATGTAATCTTCAAAAAAAGATATAATAAAGAGAATTTTAGGGAAAAAATCAGAAGCTTGACAAAATCTTACTGTCTCAGTAGCAAAGAGGGCTTTTACAAGACCTTCCTGGAAAAGAAGCTCAACCAATTCTTTGATGACAGGAAGAAGGCCAGAATGGTGGACAGCAATTCCTCGCTGAAGTAGGGGTAACATCAGCTCGATAGCAGGTAAGCTCCGGTCTTCTTCATTCAAACAGAGCACTGCATTCCTAAAAACATGCTCCACTGTATCTTTTTCCTCTTTGGTGTTGAAGTCAAGCTTAGACATAGCCATTGCATGCTGCTCACACTCTCTCCTACTGAAGCTAAAGATGATAACAGGTTGGAATTTCCTTTCCATGATCATCTGAAAATTAAGAAATACACCAACTAAAATAAAAAATTTTAAAAAAAAACAATAAAATGGGATAGAGGATAAAAAACCATTTCTTAAAATAGAGAAAAGTAAAAGTGTACACCCCATGAACAATTAACTCCATCAGTGTAATAAAGCTACCCAATTCGTCAACATATGTGTAAAGGACACTCTTTTAGAAATGACATGAACTTTGTACATCCGTAACCATGTGCCTAGTATGCCTAATCATATTCAAAAGCAACTGGTTATCAGTCGATATCATCAAATGTACAAGAATTATACCCCTCTCAAATGCCCCAGAGTATATCAAAACATTGCACATTATTGCTTGAATGTGATTAGGTACTAGGCATATGGCTAGGGATGTGTAAAGTTAAAAGAGTGTCTTTTATCAGATACGATACGAGTATCAAGTTCATGGTTTATTTAAAAGAGTGTCCTTTATCAGATACGATACAAGTATCAAGTTCAATGAAGCAGGGACATGATATGGGTATAGATACAATACATATAGGACAGGTATATGAAAACTAAAATTAGATAATAGTTAAATCAAGTCTAACATAAACCAAACTCATAACACAACTTTTAACGCATCAATAAATATTAAATCTTAACTAAGATGTTGGAATTATATTTTCAGAAATAGATTTAATTGAAATATTTGAGTTGGATGAAGGTGATAATAAGTATGGTAATAAGAATCTCTTGCTATGTAAAGGTGTGAAAGGTCAGAAGAAGGGACTGTAACAAGTATGGTACACTCTAGAATCTAGACCTTTCCTTTACAAAAAACATTAATACGTAAAAAGTAAGTAACCACTAACCAATAATCTGAATTAAATTTGAAACATTGGTAATTGATAATGAATTGTTGGAGAAAACACCAATCTTGAAAAATAGCAACAAGAAGAAAAAATTAAATGGGTTATTAAAGAGAACATGTAATTAGAGGTGAGTGAATGGTCGTAGCCATGACATATGGGAGCCATATCGCCACCATGTCAAAATTTATATATTTATTTTTTTAACTAAACAAATACAGATACTTCATTGATACATATCAACGGCATATCGGATATGATTCGGCAGAGATTTTGACGTATTCGTGCTCCATTGCCCTTATGACAAAAAAGCAATATAGATTCATAATGTATAGAGAAGGGCTTTATTATTGCTTTAATATGTTCTTTATAAAAATAATATGTTTCAATCTAGGTTCAATATATTCTTTAAAATAAGTATCCATCTAGATTCACAATGTGTTTATCAGTTCGTTCTTTTTCCTCCTCTATTCTTCTGCAGACAAGTGTGTAACTGTATATCCACCCCTTCCTTTCTCCCTTTCAAAAATATTTACTTAGTAACAAAATATAAATGAACCAAGAACTCATCAACAATTAACTACGTAAGTACATGGACTGTTTTTCATGAATCCCGAATGCAGGATGTTCAGGTTGGTAGCTCTCTAACACGTGTGTGTCTTCTCCGAACAGAAAAGTGCAATATTCAATAAGTTACCCCATTTTGTATCCGGAAAAATTAAGTTATATTAAATTTCCTATTAACACTAGATTCCATGTATACAATATATGCATATAATGTACCAATATGTCTGCTTACTACTTAACTTTCCTAAAATTCTATGTATTTCAATAAAAGCCAAAACAGATGAAATCATTATCTTGAGAATATGCCAATAAATCGCAACAAAGTAAAATGAAATTATTATCTTGAGGTATGACAATATATTATTTAATAAGCCGGTTTTCCATCACAACGAACTAGATTCTCGACAATGTGAATAGATAAATAATACATAAAATTAAGGAAATAACACAATCGAGTTCACCCAAAAAATAATAATTATGGTTGATGACTAACAACACAAGAAATGGAAGAAGTAACTGACCTTGACAATTTTGTATATGTCAGAACCAGCACCCGCAGGACCACTTTTCCCATGTCTACCATTAGATTTACCACCCCTAAACCCATCACCAACTTTCTGCTTAGAAAAAGTATCCTGCAGCTTAACAAAATTATCCTCCCTAAACTGCTCATTCTCATCAACAACCAAATACAATCCATTCCCACCATTGGGAAAAACATAATGCTGCAACGGAGTCGGTCGAAAATCAGTATACACAACATGACAAGGTTGCTTATGTATATTACAAATCCACTCCGCAAACTCCGTAGCATTAGACATAGTAGCCGAAAGAAACACCATTTTAATAGCAGGCGGCAAAAAGATTATACTTTCCTCCCAAACAACACCTCTTTCACGATCCTTCATATAATGAATTTCATCAAATATAACCCAAGCAACTTCCTTCAAAACCTCTGAACCACGATACAACATCCCCCTAAGAATCTCTGTCGTCATAACAAGACACGTCGCATTCGGAGAGATCGTAACATCACCGGTCATCAACCCTACATCTTTAAATTCCTGATTAAGCTCTCTGTATTTCTGGTTACTAAGAGCTTTAAGCGGCGAAGTATATATAACTCTCTGTTTATCCCTAAAAGCCATTGCAATCGCGTATTCCGCGATCGCAGTCTTTCCGGCTGAAGTATGAGCTGAAACCAAAACGGACTCGTTTCGTTCAAGGCACGCGATTGATACCTGTTGAAAGGGGTCGAGTGCGAAGGTGTAGGTTTTTGCCATGGTGCCGTTGTGGAGAGGATTGGAGAGTGTTCCGTGAAGTGATTCGTCTTTGGTTGAAATGTAATTGCTTGGAACTGCAACTTCGTGGACGCAAGTGCGTTCTAGACTTCGGGGTTTCTTTGGTTTTGAAGAAGTGTCGCCGGCGTCGGTGGCTTCTGATTCTCTTCGTTTTCCGAGTGATGATGGTTCTTGCTCCATTTTCGTTTTCTGAGATGAAAGATGGTGCAGTGTTCTGTTATGTTGTTGGTTTGAGCGCAAAAATGGAGTTGGATTTGATTTTCAGGCTTAAACCCTAATTTTTCGGTTCCTGTGTGAACAGCGCGGTTTTTGTGACTGTTGGCGTTTTGCTTTGGAACTTTGTGGGCTTCACGGCCCAAAACTTTCAACTTTCCTTTTTTTTCTTCTAAAGGGGCTTCACGGTTTTTGTTACTGTTGGCGTTTTGCGTAATTCATGGGATTTTTTTAATGTAGCTTATGATTTACTAGAATATTTTATGAAAGGTCAAAAAATACTTTTAGAATTAAAGATAAATTTTAGAACGCATGCATATAAGACTCATTTGTTTTTGAGTTACTCTTCAATTTTATGATTAAATTTAATTCGAAAATGCATTTTTAAAATGTCTTCTAAAATACATTTTTGAAATCTACATAAATTGGTAGTTCAGGTAGTTTCATTATATTTTTCAGAAATACATTGGCCCTATAGAAAGACATTTCTTCTAAAATATCCTTTGACGTTCACGTCATTCCACCTTGGTCCTCATCTAAGAACACTTATTTGATTAGGATTTCAGAGTAACTTGTTGGTTATATTTTATTTCTATGTGTTGTATTAGAATTGAGTACGAATGAAAAAGTGGAAGCAATAAAAATTGTCTTTTGAATCTTGACGTTGTTGATTTGTTTTCAAAAAATTAAATCTTGCTATTTAAAAAAAATCCATCTCGAATCATCAACTTGTAGTGGAACCACTTGAATTACCAATTTTTTGCAAGTTCTGAAAATACATTTTCGAATTAAATTTAGTCATAAAATTAAAGTGTGGTTCAAAAACGGATGAGTTGTGTATGCACAAAATGCGTCAGAAGATGCATCTTCAAGTTTTGAGAGACATTTTTAGATTTTTCGTAGGATGTTATTCCACCTCATATGGTGGTATAAGAAATTCTCTAATTCATTATGTCAAATACATTACTCACTCCCTAGTAAAATTCTAAAAATATCCTTAAAATATGAATTTTAATAACCAAATGCATCAAATGTACAATAAAATATATCTCAATTACGTCAAATATAAGTTTAAAATAAGTACAAATATTGAAATATGGATTTAAAACTTATTGATATTGAAATTCGGTCGCACCTTAACTAGGAGTAAAAATAAACCACGTTAACTAACAGGGGCCTAAGCCTAGCTTACAAAAGCTTAGGCCATGTCAGGATTTTTTAGATAGAAAAGGTCTAGGTTTTTTTATGAGTCTATTTAGCTAAAAATGTTAGACCACGAATTATAAAAAAAAAGTCTTTTAAACATATCAGACCGACCTATTTAACTAAACATGGATATTTTTATTATTATTATATTTATTTTATACTTTAAATTAAAATACAAAAATAAAGTTTAGTCATCTTGAAGAACTTATGAAAATAAGTTGAATAAAAAATCATATAAACAATGTCATAAGTTGTTGCTATAAGTTGTTTTCATAAGTTCTCTCAAACAAATAATATCACAAAACTTATGTTAATAGTTAAACTCAAATGAGTCAATAAGAATATATATTTAGTCTCATTGATTTGTTAATTTGTTAGTCTATTTAACATTATTTGAATTTCTTATTTACAAAATTTAAAATGAAGAAGGCTTTTAAGTAGGCTAATAGGTCAATCAGACCTTCTGAAAGGTTGGACTCATGCCTGAAAATTAGCCTATAATAGGCTATAAGTCAGGCTTAAACTTTAAAAATTTTGACAACCCAAACTCGAAATTGGCAAAGTCTAACTCGGTTCAGCTTATTCTCATCTTTAGCCTCATTATACCACACCAAAATTCAAACTTAGAATTACAAAAAACTAAAGGGTTAATAAGGATTTCAATCTCCGGATTAAACTTATTGAAATTGAAATTTGGACATTTTTATTTAAGTATTCGAGCTCATACATTTTTCCCGTCTTTCTCTTTCATTTTATCAAATTTGGACATAAGTGAAAACAGAGTTCGCCAATGCCTTATCCTTCACCAAAAATTTTCAATTTTTCTTACATCAATTACTCAACTACATTCAAGCTAAGTACATTTGTCAAATTCTAATTCATTACATTCAAGTCAAAAATCATCCATCTCTCGCATTTGATAAGTTTCGCATTTCATTATTTTTTTTTATTTGTGATGTATGCATTTCTTAAGTAGGTTATAGTTATGATACATTATGTTACAAGCAATAGGTGTTTTGTATTTATTTTGTCTTGAATAAATTTGGTTTGAAATTTTGAACTTTTAAACTTAAGATTTGTAATACATACTCTGTTTTCCAATAAAATGTGATGATGTAAAATTGTTCAACTAAATAGTGTAATTAATAATTCTATAGATCAACCCAATTTAAAAGCATGTAGTTTTTGCATTTTAGTAATATCAAGATGAGAAATATTAATTATTGCATCTTACATATTTAATGACTTTTTTGTCCTAACTCATTAGTCATTAACAATAAGGATACTTTGAGAGGTTGAAGCTAAACTCCAAATAAGATTAAAATAAAACACACGACTAAAGAAAAAAAATTGAATTGCCAAAGTTATGTTGAGCTATAAAACACAAAATCACCCACACATTTAATTTGACGATCTCAAACATCAACCTATAAGTTTAAGATGACTTAATACTAAAAATGTAAAATAAACTTAAATACCATGATATGATGATGCAATCACTCAATACTTTGTAATTGCATGTTCCGATGACAGTAACGACCGTAACGTAGAATTGTCAACTATAGTTATTTAATAAGATCTTCCATTGCCAACCACCGCCTAAAACCATATTGGAACTTTTAATAGTTCATTAAGTTAACTTTAATTTACTTTAGTTAAGAAATCAAATTGGAACTTTTGATAGATATTCGGGCATGTCATGCTTATGATGATTTTGCATTATGCATTGAAAAAAACAATTATTTCCATCATCCACCAAGTATCTTGAAAAAAACTAGTGATTAGAATACACCGCATGATAAAACAAAACGAAAAAATAGTATGGAAAGATGTACATAGTGTGGAAATCATACTAGAGATGGAATCATCGCAACAATGACGCTAAAAAAACACATTCCAATGGAATAATATTAAAAATTAAGAATCATGCCAGAGACAGATAGATGTACAATGTGTGGGAAGTTGATTTGTCATGATGAAAAGAACGATAAAATTGCTAGTTATGAGAAAGGAATCAACAAGGGAAACATGGTTGAAAGAGAAATCTTAATTGTTGAGAGGGTGATTCAAATTCGGGATAATTTTTGAGTTTGAATACACAGGGTTTTGATCGAGAATTTTGTGGAGAACATCAAGTTTTAGGCCTAAGAGGGCGACTGTAAATTATCATTGATATTAATTAATTGGCAAAACTACTGTCTAAATTCTTTAAGTTATTTTAAAATATCAAGTTAGCTACTTAAGTATTTTTTGTAATGCTCTGGTCCTTTTTTAAAAATCTTTGTTATAATAAATTACAAACGCATATACCATTTGAACTGATTTTTCGCGCTGATCACGAATATGTAATTAATTTTGCGTTTGATTGTGTATTTTGGTCGGATCGTTGATTTTTTATTATGTATTTCGTCCATTTTTATCTGATTCTTATGAATCGTAACTTGTTTGGTAAATTTGATTGCATATTTGTGATCAGCATAAAAAACCAGTTCAAATGATATATGAGTTTGCAATTTATTGTAACGGAGATTTTTAAGAAGAGACCAAAGCGTTATAAAAAAAACATAAGGGACTAATTTTATATTTTAAAATAACTTAAAGGACTAAAACAATAGTTTTGCCTAATTAATTTAAAATAATAATAACAATAATAATAATAATAATAATTATTATTATTATTATTATTACTAGCGTCCAGACGGGCACTCGCGTGCTCGGCTGTCCGTTTTTTTATTGCACACGCGTATAAATATAAATTATATTTTTTTATTTAATGTTAATTTTAAATGGAAGTTATGTAAGAAGTTATTAGTAAGAAGTTATATGAAAGATGATAGCAGTAGTTCAATGGAAGTTATTGTGTAAGTTAGATATTTTAAAATAAGGGTAAAATTGTTAGAAAATTAGGTTACACCAAAAACCAAGTTTTGCCTTTATATATGTTATAGATTATATATTATTATTATTATTATTATTATTATTATTATTATTATTATTATATCACACTATTTCTCCAAAATTAGTTATGGATGAATAATTACAAGTTTACCGCCGCTCTTTATTTTACACCTGTTTTTTCTAAAATTTGGTGTTAGATAATTAAATATTTTGTATGATTTTAAGAAAAGTTAAACATTTCTAACTATGCTATATTACATTTACCATTCCATTTGAGTTTTTGTAAACACACCATATTATAAAATTTTCAAAATCCTCTAGTGTGAGGCAAGCAAGTCCTTAAAAGTTTAAGTCAATGAGATCTTTAAAAGTCAAAGGTAAAGAAGTTCTTACAAGTTGTAAGGCAGGTAAATTATCTACTGTGAAAAAAGGAAATATAATAATAGGTTGTCTTAGTGATTTTATGTCATTAGGTTTCATCATAGAGGAAATCTCATAAGTCTGAGGGGACTATATTAGTCTTTAAATAACAAGGAGAACCACAATTATTTTTGTGTGCGGTTATCTTTCATATTCTTATTACTTTCTGCTCCATTACTATTTATGCTTTAAAATATCAAAAAAAACTTTTAAAATCAATATAATTCAACTTCTCATGCCTTTCCTTTATTGTCATTTTCTTGCCTTTGCTATTATGATAGTCCGAGTGTTATTTATTTGACAAATAATTATGCTTATCACATCAGTTGTAATAACCATAAATTATATAAGTTTGATTAGTGGAATAAGGAATACTTAGGGTGTGTTTGGTTCGGGGTAGATGGAGGGGAGGGGAGGGGAGGGGAGGGGAAATTTTTAATTAA